CAAAACTGAGCCCTAGGGAACACCACTAGCGACCGTCCACCAACTGGATTTGGTTCCATCAACCACAGCTCTCTGGGCCCGGCCATCCAGTCAGTTTTTTTTACCCATTGAAGAGTCCACCTATCTAAGCTGGGAGCAGTTGATTTATTTAGGAGGATGCTGTGGGAGACCATATCAAAGGCCTTACTAAAGTCTAGGTAGACAACATCCACAGCCTTTCCCTCATCTACCAAGTGGGTCACCTTGTCATAGAAGGAGATCAGGTTGGTCAGGCATGATCTTCCTTTCATAAATCCATGTTGGCTGCCCCTGATTTTCCTGCATGTGCTGTGCAATGGCACTCAAGATGATCCACTCCATAACCTTGCCCAGAGCCGAGGTCAGGCTAACAGGCCTGTAGCTCCCCGGATTGTCTTTCCAACCCTTCTTGTAGACGGGCGTTACATTTGCTAACTTCCAGTCTGCCAGAACTTCTCCAGTTAACCAGAACAGCTGGCAGATGATTGCGAGAGGCTTGGCAAGTTCTTTTGCCAGTTCCCTCATTACTCTGGGCTGAATCTCATCAGGGCCCATAGGCTTATAGGAGTCTAACTGGCACAGCAACTCACTAACCATCTCTTCCTGAAGCTCCATCGGAGCTGTACCCCGGGATCCTCCCCATCAGCAGAGCTCAGGCGCGATGCGGGGTGACAGCACCCACACCTGGCCGTAGACCTGCTTTGGTGTAACGAGCCTGCTGAGGTCTCAGCAGCCCCACACCTATGGGCTTTGCTGGTGAGCACCTCCAGGCACATTAACAGCTGGGGACCAAGCCTTGTTGGTCAAGTGTTCAGTCATGTTTCTGTCCTCACCTTCAAAAACAACTGCAAACTGGGAGAGACTGGATTCTGAAAGTGCGTAAGGTAATGCCAGCTCAACGTGTACGAGTACAACTGCACACGAAGGTGCCAGTAACTATGGCCTATGTGCAAAGGATTCGGTCACAAAAAGGAACTCAGTCAGTCCGTGATTTGGTAAACTGCTCGTGAAGACTGCTAGGAATACCCAATACTTGGTGGTCAGATCGGGCACCAGCCTCCGTTCCCTGAATCTGTGCAAGTACAACATTGCCAGCATCAGCACCCCTGCCCATCTAAGGCTCAGTTTCTGTCAGGGCTCGTGTCTTTGGAGACAACCTTATGCAAACCCTGACATAAACCAAGCCCCTAGAATTTTTCAAAAAAAGCAACTCAACAGCCACAAAAGGGTTCACGTGCAATGCAGGCGAAAGCTGGAAGAGAGGCTTCACGGGCGCTCCCACCCGTGGTAGACCCGGAATCGCTTGGGCATTTCTCGGGTCTTCCTCGAGTAGCTTTCGTAGGTACTGCATGCAACACAAATTGGCTAAAGCACAGCCCTACCTGCACACACAACCGCCATGCGACATCGTGGGTTAGTGTGGGTGTTGCACACACACAGAGAGCGGACGCTGGGGGACCTGCAGGGATGGTGCTGGGCTGCACAGAGCTTCTCCTGCCCCGGCAGTAAGAAGTCCTCACTTACTCTCAAACTCAACAAATCCAGGTAATTTGCCTGCTGTGAAGTTATTTCCTCTTCTGCAAGAGCTGACTACCATTACTCCCAGAAAAAAAACCCTCGATTTAGTAACAAAATAATACCAGACCCCGAGTTTACCAACACTTCATTTCTATTTTGCTCCCTGTGCTCTCAGCACTGAAAGCTCAGTTAATTAACTGTCTGTCACTTGGACAGGGCTAAACCTTTCCAGGTTTCAAAGCTGCTTTACTGCCCTCAGCCTTGCTGGGGTTCTGCCACGAGCGATGCCATGGGCCCGGAGCTACGCCGCAAGCCAGCAGAGCAGATGGGCACGGCCGGGCGGCACGACCCTCCACCGCACGCCTAGCATGGAAGTTAAATACCGGGAGCACAAAACAAAGCTGACTCCGCAACCTTTCTTAATTGACCTGGTTTTGTGCCAGACGATTACCAATGCAAAAAAAACCTGGATTTGAAAGAAATTTTTGTTATTATCTAGAAACCCCACAAACCTATGCAAAACTACTTAGGCTGATACCAACAGCTGTGTCAGGACGTGGTTTACTCCCCGCCTGACAACTGGCCGAGCTCCCGCAGGACTCGCAGCGATTCACCAACCCTTTGATGAGCCTGTGCCCCGTGCCGGGTGAACAAACCTCAGCTCCCACCCGCACGGATCCCCCCTCCTCACTACCCTTACCGAAGCAAGGAATGCCCCTGGTTTCAGACGAGTAAAATCATTCCCAATCCCCTCTCTGCAACAGAAACCCTCCTCCTCTGCCTCCTCTCCTTCTTCTTCCTCCTTTCATTTCTCTCCCTGGAGGAAGAAAGTCTTTGCTTGAATGGTACGAAACTTCCCATCTTTGCAAAGATTCAGTCTTAAGTAATTTTTGAATGATGCCACGGCATTGTACATATGGATCTGGATTCTTGTGAAATGCCATCAGCAACTGTTTGCGAAAACCAAACAGTTTTCCCCTAATAACTCGCTAACTGAAATGGGAAGCGCTGAGTTTCATGCTGCAAAATGTAAGTAACTATGCACCAATATACGCCACGGATTCTCAAATAACTGAAACACAGCAGGCAGGACTATTCCGTGTTATGTAAATTTAATGTTACACAAACAGATCTGCAGAGCTCTCGCTGTAAAAACAGCTGAAACAGTAACATTAGAAAAAGTAAGGGCTCCTGCAGGTGGTTTTTTTTTTCCCCAGCTTTGCACCTATTAGCTATATTTTGCCTACTTGGAGCCATACTAACAACTACAGTAATATGTTATGATTAACTCTAATCATCATTCAAACCCACTTTTGGAGATAACGTCTGCTTCTCACTTCTGCAATTATTAGCAGCAAGCAGGATTCCCACTCCTGTACCTGCACCTTTGACTTCCCACAAGAGGGGCTGCACAACACAAAGCATGGCAGTAAGCCCGGGCGTGCTGCATCCCACCGACCCCCCGACACAGGCCAGCACGCCGGGCCGGGGAGGGGAGGGGAGGCAAGGAGGGGCTGGCAGGGAGCCCCCCCCCCCCTGCCACAGCCAGGGATGCTGGAGGTCAGGTCCCCCAGGCTGGGAGGTCCCCAAAGCGACGTCACGTCACCTCACCCCGTGTCCTCCCACCTCCTCGTCCCACGCATCCGCTCAAAGGGGTCCAACAGCCACAACGGTAATGTCGCTAACAAACCAGACTGCTATTTATATAGCTTGAAATAAGATTTTTACACCCGTTTCCAATACTGCTGTCCATCGTCCAGGCAGCATTAATTGCAGTCATGTCTAAGTTTAATCCGCCATCATAGTAAGACAACAAATAAAATAGGCTCCTAATATTTGATCTTGTATTTTTCCTCTCAAAAACTAATTTATACTTGAGAAGAGATTTTGCAGAACAAAATATATTTTTTATTTAGTATTTATAATACTAGCCTGGAGTGCCTTCAGCTTAAAACAAAATGAAGGGCAAGGATGAAGCTATTCATAGGAATGTGCTGCGCAGAGACTGTAAACGCCCAGCACAGAAACACTTTGTGTTTTTAATGCTGTAGATGCAAGAAGACAAGATGTTTGTAAACTGAGCTTAGTGCAGATAAGTTTTCTATTGCCGCAGGCAAAATCACAGAAGGCGAAATGAGTTCACTTAAAGGCAAAGGATGCTGCGCAAAGGACAAATATTGTGCAAGGATTTTTCAGTGGAAAAAGAAGAGCGAAACGGTTAGCAAGACCCTTGGCTCTACCTGGCACTACCCACGAACATTTAGCACAGCGTCAGGCCAGACCTGCGGAGGAACCGCGCTGCCCAGAGCTCTCTGCTCCCCTCGTCCCCCGAGGTACCCACATCACCTGCAGGAAGCTTTAGCGCGAAGCTCCACCTCTGCACAGGGCAAGCAGCCGGGTTTTGCTGCCAGAGAGCCCTCTGGCCACAGAAACGGGCTTTGCACTCGCCAGAACACGTTTTGACAAGGTCTCATCGTTTACGAAGTTCAGAACGTCGCTCCACTGACAGTGGAAATTGCAGCATTTACTCTATACGGAAAAAAGATCAAATCCTGAGGAGCATCAGAAGGGCAATGAATAGCCTGTGCTATTCAAACACAGGAAAATACACATTTACCCACCGACACAAGTCCCTGGGGGTTGCTGTACCTTCCCAGTAGGAAACTTGTCCCTAAAGCAACACCTGGAAGCCCCCGCCAGCTCCGCAACTCGGGTAACAGTTGCACCCAAAGCCACAGATCACATTTGATTTCTACAAATACACATGAAAATATGTGTTTCAACTGCTCCTAACAAACCTCAGGGAATGAAATATTTGCCTTGAACAGCTCCGTCTGCAGGAACAGTCTTTTCTTCAGGAATTTCTTCTAAACATCCCCTTCCTGTTCTCGCTTTACAGTTTCAGTCCTAGCAAAACCACCTCACAAACTGAAAACTGATCATTGTATGTGTAAAAAAACCCCTGAAGTACATTTAAGAAATCCCAGTATCTGATGACGACCACCGACTTCTCTCCTCTCCTGCCCCAGGAGGGGTCCGGCGGCAGTGGCAGGACCCGCTGCCCCTGCCCAGGACAGCTCCCCATCGTCAGCGCTGCCCACCGTCAAACTGGGAGCGTCTGCAAACTGAGAAGGCTTTTGCTACCTTCACAAAGCCTGTGATGCCTTGGGTAAGAGTTAACATTTCCGACTATTCTGGGAAAGGTTATGCTGCCATGGTGTTAGCTGACCTGAGAGAAAGCTAGAGAAGAGAAGAAGAAAATGAGAACAGGAGAAGGGATGTTAGACTGGGGTTTAAGAACCAGAAGAGGAAAATAAGGGACAAAAGCGGTAGGGACTAGTGTGTGAAGAGCAGGAATAGCATCCACGTACGGCTCTCAGATCAGAACCAGAGCTGTCCAAGGCAAGGCATCGCCAATTAGTATGAGAGGCACCTACGAATCCCCACCGTTCTGTTTGCTAAAAATATGACAAACAATCTAACTTTTCTTATGGATGTCAGTAAGAAAGCTCTTTCACAGCTGTACTGCATGACAATTAGCTGTGGGTTTTTAATATCAAAGTCACTGAATTAATTAACCTTTCCCCACTAAATCTAGAGATTCCAAGAAAGGCGGATATTTGACTCAAACACATAACTTAGGAATTTAAGAGTTCCTTTAACTCCCTAGGCAAATAAGCGAGCAGCGTTTCACATCTGCAAACCAGAAAGCATCAGGCACCCTCTTCTGAGAGCACAGCACCTTCTGCCTTTAACTTCTTGGGGGTAACGGGCACAGCGTGTGTGACGGCTGAACTCTGCTCCTACCAACCAGCAAGCTATCCTCATTTTTTCCATAGAAATACTTCTACAATAATGCCAATTATACATAAAGAATAAATTGCAGTTAAAATAATTCACAGTTTGAAAATGTATGCATTACGATTTTTAAATCTAAAGAGCAAAGGTAGGAATTTATTACTGGCTTTATGGAAGATAAATCTTTTGAGTAAAACTTTTGTCAATGACATGGATTTTTAACGTAACAAAAAGCAGAATTTGAGTGCAGTGGTTATATTACGCATACATGCACACAAACATGTAATCCAACGATGTTTGCATTCCATACCTATTCCATTGATTAAAAAGAAAAAATACGAATAAAGATATACTCAATCTACATGAGACTGAAATAATGTTACAGAATGGGGAAAGCAACATGGAATAAAAAAAATGAACTCACCAATTTGTTTCTAAATTTTTGGTATGGGTCAGGCTTTCATTTATTTTTATCCCCCCATTTTTTTAATATTCAGGTGGTAGTAGCTGCCAAAACCATTCTTAACTTAGCTGAAATATTACCCTTTTTCTCTTTGGATGCAGCATCTGGATTGTGCTTCTGACGGCTCAGGACTGCCAGACTGCCGCAGTCTCTTAGTCTGCGTTTGATAAGCATTTGGAAATACCAGCTAGCACTAAAAGCAGCTGATGCCTTATTAAATGTCGATTCCTACAGAAAGGTCATTATTCCCGGGCAGCTTCACAGCTCAGTTGCTTTGCTGGTTCGCATCCCATCGGGTAAAAGGGAAAATGAAACAGGGAACACCTTCTTCTGACACTGAAGAGACCGAAATGCCTCCGCTACGGGGTCAGAGAGGGCATCTATGTGTCTTAATTCGGTCTTAGTTACACATCCTCAGAGCCACCTCTTCACTCTAAAGCACGTGTGTAAGTGATAATTACGGGACAGGTGGCACTTGGCACTAACCTCTGACCCCTTCACCCCCGCTCTGCTCACTAACACCCACCCTACCAGCACAACCCCCAAAAGCCCAGGCAATCGCCAGCTAAAAGCTGGTGGCAGGGGGGAAGAAAATAAAGCCTAACTAATTTTTTGTTTTAATAATTTTAAGAGTCGCTTATATGTCTGACTCTGGATTAACTTTAAGTGCTACTCCATTTCAAGATAAGGAAATAAAATGCAGGATTTGCCTTTCTCTGAGAACTCCCAGCGCCACGGGGAGGGGATGGCGAGAGCCCTGCCAGCCAGGCACTGGGAGCACCAGCCAGTGCCGCCTCAGGCTCTGCAGCTCCTTACCGTCATTCACTCCACCAATTTTAACGCACACCTCCGTTTCAATGAAATAGCTGCTGGCAGACTTTACAGCGGAGTGATAATATTTCAGATCATGAGAAGAACAGTTCTCTTGACTCACAACCAGCTTCCTCCTCCCTCTGCTAACAACAGGGTCTGCTCCCGCTCCCGTGGCCCCTCCTTGCTTTTCCCAAGATCATTTCCTGAGAACAAAACCTAAAAAACCCAGCCCTTCCCTGACTCCAGGCTCTGAAGGACAACCAACGACAGATTTTGGCCATTTTCCGGCATAAGTAATTTTGAAAGGCTTTTCTTTTTGCCCATCCACTGCCTTACCTGGAGGTGTTTCGCAAAGCTGTGGGGTGCGTGCTGTCCCCTGAGCTGGCTCTCCCTTTATCTGCCTGTTGCGCACAATGCGGGGTATGCAGGACCGGAATTCTCTCCACTTCATCATGTCTCTCACACAGGTTTGAAACCGCTACAGCCACTTGTGAAGGCTTTTTTCTTTTTTTTTTTTTTTTTTAATTTTTCATGAAGACCACAGAAGCTATTAGAGCTGAGCAAATAACCCATTGTAAGTAATTTATTCAATTTGTTCTCTTTCGGCTTCATTTAAAATTTTTCTAGAGGTTTTGTTACAGTCTGTGGTTTAAGCAATTAAATGAAAGAGGTCAGGAACAGTCACGGGAATTCAGGACACACTCTTAGATCATTTTTGACTCAGTGTGCGTAGTCATCAATTTTATTTTCTAGGCAATAAAAGCATGCATTTTAAGTGCAAATCATCATAACCGAATACTTGGGTTCAATGTTCAAAAACGTGTATTTCAGAAATACATTCTAAAATTTTCCTGAAGTGATGAAAAAACAGTAACATCTGTAAACACAAGGTCAACAGGCTATTTACAGGAAACAAACATAGAGGGAACTTAAAAAGCAGGTAATATTTTGCCTTAGTGAATGTTGAAACGAAGATATAAATGAGTTTTCTCAGCTCTGATAACTACATTGCAGCGTCGAGGATAGGTCAGATTTTGGTCTTCACCACCCTGAACAGCATGCCACAATTACCTGACATGTGTTCTCTCATATTGCAGCAAAATCTTAGGTATTAAGCATTATTATCTACATAGACAAGTGTAGCGTAGAGTCAAAGAGTAGAGAGTACTCCTGCTTCGCTCTCCTTACCTTACAGGCAAGGTCCTGTCTCCTTTCCTCCTGTCCATCTCTCTCTGGGGAACCGGATACCAGCGAAAGTTCAGTTTCCAGTTAAACCCTCCGTACGTCATATCAGATCCAGCCATGTACTCAAATGTGTCATCGCTGATCACATCAATGATCGGGCAGACAACAGTTTTCCTGGAAGGAAAAAAAAAAAAAAAAAAAAACCAAAATATTTTTTCACATCAGTATGCTGAATATTGCATTTATTTTCAGGCTTCTCTGCATAAAACCCCATTTACCACCACTCCATGCAGGGCTTCTCTTCCAAAAATTCCCCTTTTGTGCCGGCTGCAGCTTTTTGGACACACCGACTCCTCGCTGCGCTCCCGGGAGCGGAAAGCTGCCAGCTCCCGACCCTGCCCAGGGCTCCCAATCCTCTGCCAAATCCTCTCCAAACGGCAGGAGCAACTGCCGCACGCTTCACCCCATCAGCACGAACTACACCGAATTGGTAAATTATTCTCCTCCTTGCTCCTTACACAACACACGGTTTTCCCGTACACCTTCCCAAGACCAGCAGCATCAGGACAAAGACAATGGAGGTTATTTTGGCTTGCGGTTGCGGGGCTCGAGCAGTGCTGGCTTTATCGCGTGTGCGTGCACCTCTCGTGGAGCGACGCGGTTCAGGAATGGGAACAAATCCCATCTCGCACTCGGGCAGGTTGGTGCTGCCCACGCACGCACGGCTGCTGCTCCTCCATGGAGCACAGCAAGGACCGCGGCTGCTGCAACGCTGCCAGGGAGGACAGCGCGGTTTTTGGGTCGGCTTGCAGGACCTTTGTGCACTTCGGCACAAAAAAAAAGGGGAAAATCGCATCACCTACTGCCAAAAACCAACCAAAAAACAAACAAACAAAAAAAACCCACCCCCCCAAAAAAAAGCCAAAAAAACCCACAAAAAAAAAACAAAAAAAAATCCTCCCACAAAAAAATAACCAACCTCTCCCCCCCAAGAAAAAAAAAAAAAAACAACAAAAAAAAAAAAAAC